CATATAACTCTGTATTTCCTTTGCTTATCTGTAGAACAGAGCAGTAAGTTCTCAAAGATCATGTTATGATCCTAGAGGATGGTAATTAGGACTTGGCAGTTTGCAGAAGGATAAAACGTCCACTGCACTGGATCCTAGGGCAGTGAGGAACGCATTACATTTTTCTCTCAGAATCATAGGATACTAATCTTCAAAAAAATCTAATGTACCATCTGATCAAATGTTCTGTGAGGGACAGAGCATCCAGGAAAACTCCAGGGGTGGGAGTTGTTTTCTAGGTTCTGAAATGAATAATTCCAGGAGCTGCATGGCACTGGGGATTTCCTAGGTTGGGGATGAAGACAGCTAGCTGAGTGAGGAAGAGTGTGAACCAGGGCCCTCAAGGGAAGTGACAGATTAAGCAGAGACAAGGGAGAAGTGCCCTAGGGAGAAGAGGAGGCCTTAGCATGACTGTGGGTTGGACCCATTGTCACAAAGCCTGTTCTGTCTCCGGGTGGCCTGGGACTTGGAGAACCAGAAGATGAGGGGACTGCTTGAAGATCACATGGAGAAGTCTGATCCAGGCCCACGTGGTATCCATACTCTTCCTTCTTGGCCCAGTGAAGACTATCCATGGACCCCCATTTATGTGCCTTGGGGCCTTTGCACAGCCTCTTCTTCCTGGTTGGAAACCTCTTACCCCGCATGCCCTTGGCTCACTCTCGCTCCTCCTTTTTTCCTCATGTGTCACCTCCCATATGAGGCTTCCTTGACCGCAGCTGTACCTCCCTATCCACCTTGCCACTGCCCATTCTTTTTTTGGGGGCAGAGGGGAACACAGTTTCACTCTTTTACCCAGGCTGGAGTGCAGTGGTGAGATCTCAGCTCACTGCAACCTCTGCCTCCCAGGTTCAAGCGATTCTCTTGCCTCAGCCTCCCCAGTATCTGGGATTACAGGCTTGTACCACCACACCACACCTAGCTAATTTTTGTGTTATTAGTAGAGACAGGGTTTCAGCATATTGGCCAGGCTGGTCTCAAACTCCTGACCTCAAGTGATCCTCCCAGCCTCAGTCTCCCAAAGTGCTGGGATTATAGGCATGAGCCACTGCACCTGGCACCACTGCCCATTCTTCTCTTCTTTTTCTTTTCCTTTCTTTTCTTTTTCCAGGGCACCCCTCCCTTCTTCCGGCACACAGTGCAATTTTCTTACTCTGCTGGCAGCTCACTGTCTGCCTCTTCCCAATAAAGTGCAGACTCACAGGGTGGGGACCCTCTGGTTTGCTCACTGATGGTCTCTAGTGCTACATCTGCCTGGCACAGCTTGGGGCTCCCTAGGAACCTGTCAAATGGGCAAAAGGGACATTTTCAAATATGCTATTGAGAAGAGCTTATTCCACATCCAGTTCAGGAAACTAAGGAGCTAGTATACTTCATGTAACTTAAGTTAGGGCTGCCAATTCTATATCGGAGAATCCTGATACCTATTTGAGGCCTCCAACTAAATCATTCTTTTCCCTTTCTTTTTTTTTCTTTGAGACAGAGTCTCATTCTGTTGCCTAGGCTGAGGTGCAGTGGCATGATCTCAGTTCACTGCAACTTCCAGCCCCTGCACCCCTGGGCCCAGGGTTCAAGCAATTCTTGTGCCTCAGCCTCCCAAGAAGCTGGGACTGACTACAGGCATGCATCACTGTGCCAAGCTAATTTTTATACTTTTAGTAAACACTGGATTTCACCATGTTGGCCAGGATGGTTTCAAACTGCTGACCTCCAGTGATCCAGCCATCTCAGCTCCCAGAGTGCTGAGATTACAGGCATGAGCCACCATACTTGGCCTAAATCATTTTTATTTTTTTAAGAATATCACAACTTGACCAAAGGTTTGAGTCTTCTTTGCTCCTTCCTGCCAGGTGTGGAAGCAGACATCCCCACTATGGCTGGGAGAGTGAGCTGCGGAGGAGCTAGGTTGTTATCCTTACCCTCCAGAAGTCAGGGGTCACATGTTTCTGTTTAAGCTTCTTCTTGGGTTATCCCTCCCAGAGGGACAAGAGAGCAAGGAACTCAGGGTTACAGCATCTACTCCTCCAACCATCACCCCCTCACCTGCCACACACACATCCCTACAGAGAGCCTCTGGGGACATGTTGCTCAGACATCTGCCACAATATGTGTCACCCCCCCCATAGTGCTCCCCCTGTGTAAAAGGGCAGGCACTGCAACTTCTGTCCCATCCACACTTAGGGGCCTTGTCCTTTGGACAGAGTGAGATCCAAGACGCTGAATCTTGCTGTCAATTTGGATATGTTTGCAGCCTCCCAAGATCATGGCGAATTGCTGGAAGAGCTCATGGCTACAGCTCTCATCCCCAACACACACACACACACACGCACACGCACACACACACACACATACACACACGCACGTGCGCACACACACACACACACACATGCACGTCCTCTTTCCTGAAGCAGGTGGCTTTCCCTCTGGTCTGCAGCAGCTTCTAAGTTTGTCGAGCTGCCCTGCACTTTCAGCCCATATGCTAGCTTGCTCTCCATTCAGCAGCAACAAGAGCAGCAGCCCTCTAATTTTGGTTACTAGACATGTGGTGGCTCTTTCAGAGTCTGGGTTTAGAGAGAGACACCAGGGAGGCATAGTGCCAGAGACAGAAATGGCAGCTGGGGTTGCCAACCCAGGGGCGGGCTTCCCATGGAGCCGTGAAAAAGTGAGGAGACAAATCTCCTTATGCCTTTGCCTCCCTTCCCTTCTCCCCCCACTTCTTCTCAGACGCCACATGCAACATCTCATTCAAGTGCCACAGCAGCCCTGCTCAGCATTTGCTGTATCATCCCCATTGCACCAGGGAGGGAAGGAGGCAGAGAATGCCTGGCCTTTTCACATGCAGGCCATCCAGGATACACTGATGGTCTCCCTCTCCTTCTGTCCAGCCCACGAGACTAAGGGCCAGCACACAGCTCCTGTGTCTGCACATCAGCCTTGGGCGGGGGCGGGGGGGGGGGCGGTAGTAGTTCAATTTGGAAGGAACTTGTGTAGCACAACATGCCACATTCTTAGCTGAGTCTTTGCCAGAGCAGGGGTACTCGAGGTGCCCTGACTTCTTTATGGCTCAGTCCCCACATAGAGCAGTGACTGACACTTGACATGGTGCATGGACAGACCTTAACCAAGTTGATGCCTGGGGAATCCCTGGCCTTCCCTACTTAGGAAAGTCGAACACCATTTCCTGCGGAGCTGCTGTGGACTGAACTGTGTTCCCCCAAAATTCATATGTTGAAGCCCTAACCCCAAATGTGACTATATTTGGAGATAGGGCCTATAAGGAGGTAATTAAAGTTTAGTGAAGTCATAGGGTAAGGTGCTGATAGAATTAGTGTCATTATAAGAAGAGAGCTTGTTCTTTGTCTGTTTGTCTGTCTCTCTCTGCTGTTCTCTCTCTTTGCTTATGTGTACAGGCACTGAGGAAATCTCATGCAGGGACATAGGAGAAGGCAGCTGTCTGTAAGCCAGAAAGAGCCTTCACTAGAAACCAAATCAGCCAGAACCTTCCCCTTAGACTTCCCAGCCTTCAGAGATGTGGAAAAATACATTTCCATTGATTCAGCTACCCAGTCTACAGTACTTTGGTAAGGCAGCCCAAGCCAACTAACAGAGGAGCCATCATGAGCCTGGCCGAGGATGGCCCAGTATGGTCCGGCCCATGAATCCAGGCCCTAGGGTTCTGATGGACTCTAAAGACAACAGTCTTCCCTGTGGCTCTTGACCCTGCAAGCCTGGGCAGGCTCCTGCCTTTCCTCCCACCCATGTCCTGCACTGCTCACTAAGCATTTATAGTTTAGTCTTTGAAGACTTCCTGGAAATGACTTCTGCTTTTCTTCCACAAATTGATAATCTTCCCCAGAGATTGTATTGAAGCCTGCAGTGAAGCTTCCTGAGACCCTCACCTTCTGCCCTAAGACACTGTAAAGAGACCACAGTGATTGTTCTTTGTAGTAGTTCCTGTAATGCTCTGGAAGGAAGCCCTGGGCTACCAGGACAGCGTCTGGGTTGCACTTGGTATGGCGTGAATCTGGGCAGGGACATGCTTGGGCTTGGGTTGGAGAGTAACACTGAGGTCTGCACCCTGGCATAGGCCACTCCCTGGGCCCAGACACCCTCTCCTTCCTCCAGTTGCTCAGGAATGAGTCTCCGCTCTCTGCTGAGCAGGGTGGTTTACTGCACTGTGCCTGTACCTCTGTCTCTACTATAGAGGCTGATGCTTCTAGGCCAAGGTCTCATTGGTTTAGTTAGTTAGTTTAATAGATTTAGCTCAGAGTGAGAGGAGAAGGGAAAAGAAAAGGAGGGATAACATGGAGGAAAGAAAAAGAGAAGCAAAATGGGGAATAGGAGCTACAGGAGTGAAAGCACAGTGGCCTTCAAATCCCACAGCACAAGGCTAGAAGGAGCACAGACCTCTGCACTCAGTGATACTCAAGCCATCTCTCCAGTCTTTGGCTTCCTTTTAAGATGATGAGACAAATGAGTTCCCAACACCCAGAGCCACCGTGCTCCAGACATCCACCACACTGATCGAAGCACATGGGCTTTACTGCTGGGGCCAAATAGCAGACAGGAAGAGGGTTTATAAAGACAAAGCCTCTTAGAGCCTTGGCTCACTTTAGATTGTTTGTGAATTTTTTTCAGCCTAGTGTGCTTTTTAAAAAAGCAGTACAATAATCAGTCTGACATCATCTGGCATTAGTGGGAACACTATAAATATTTCTATTTTGAGTCAGGCCAAAGCATTATTCTACAATATCATTTAATCATTTCTTCCAGCATTCACCTAATCACTACAAATGTCAAGCAAATGTTTGAAATGAAGGGAACTGATATGTTAAGAAGTAAATTTATGGTAATAACAACCAACCCCGGTCAGGCTAAGTACATAATGTTCTGGATTTCTTCCAGAGGCTTCCACAGAGTCCAGGAATGTTTTTGCCATTCACTTACACAGCTGAGCTGACCAGTTGCTGTGACAGGGAGCTTTGTTTATTTGGTTTTCACTTTTCAGCATGAAATACAGTTCTGTCTTGATTCTCCTGAGTCTGGCGCTCTCTGAATGTTTCTAACTAGAATGTTTCTGCTCATTTGCAAAAAGTTTGCTCCCCTGAGACTGGTGGGCGCCTGGAAACACTGCTGGTGAGGCGCGGGTCTGCTTGGATCACCGCTCTGCTTGGTCAGCTCACAAATCAGGAGTGTTTCTAGAGTTAGAACTTTCCTGCGGTGGTAAGTTTTCATTAGGGATAGCACCATCTTGGCTCTTGAACTCAGTGTGATTTTCTTGTAAATCTACCAAAGTGCTTAATCTGGGGAATTCTTGCACAGGTTCTGTCTTGTCATCATCACCGCATTATGCAGTTTGTGGGCATGTCAGCCTTCTTGTGCACTGGCGATCCCGGCAAGCCTTCCCCTGACAGAGGAACACTGGTCAGAGGTCTGACTTCATGCTTGGTGTCTGAAAGAGTGCTTCTAAAAGTAAACAGGGAGAAAGGTGTCAGATGCTTGGGGAATGGGCTAAGGGCTGAGAGAGTACAGTTCAAAATAAAATAGCCACAGCTTCCTTAAAAAATAAATACATAGGGCTGGGTGCAGTGGCTCACACCTGTAATCCCAGTGCTTTGGGAGTCTGAGGCAGGAGGATTGCTTGAAGCTAGGAGTTCGAGAAACCTGGGCAGTAAAGCAAGACTCAGTCTCTATAAAAAAAAATTTTAGAATTAGCCAGGTACAGTGGTGTGTGCCTGTAGTCCCAGCTACTTAGGAGGCTCAGTTGGAAGGATCACTTGAGTTCAGAAGTTTAGGGCTGCAGCGAGTTATGATGGCACCACTGCACCACTGCCTGGGTGACAGTGAGACCCTCTCTCTAAAAAAAATTATTTAAGTAAATATACAACTAATAAGTGATCTAGCAATTATAGTCTTAGGCATTTATCTCAGATAAATGGAAACTTGTATTTAGACTAAAACATACACATGAATTTTCATAGTAGCTTTATCTGTAATAGCGCCAAACCAGAAACAATCTAGCAGTCTTCCAGTTGGAGAATGGTCAGACAAACTGTGTTACATCATACCATGAAATGCTAATCAGCAATGAAAAGAAACTGACTGTGGATACACACAACAATCTCATGAATCTCCAGGATTTATTGTGAGTGAAAGAAGGCAATTCCCAAAGTTTGCATACTACGTGGTTCCATTTATATAACATTCTTAAAATGACAAAACCATAGACATGGAAAAGAGGTTATAGGTTACCAGGTTTATGTAGGGAGTGGCACAAGAGCAAAGTGTTTGGCTACAAATTGGAGACATGGGGATCCTTGTGGTGATGGAAATACCTGGTATCTTAACTGTATCAATGGCAACATCCTGGTTGTGCTGTTGTACACAGGTTTACAAGATTTGCCACTGGGGGAAACTGGATAAAGGGTACCAGGCATCATTCTGCATTCTTACAACTGCATGTGAATCTACAGTTATCTCACAATGAAAACTTTAATTAAAAATAAATAGGGTGGCCAAGGTGGGCTCACTGAGAGGGTGACATTTGAGCTAATACTTGAAGGAGGTAAAAGAGGTGGCCGTGCAGGTATTTGGGGAGACAATGTCCCTGGTGGAGGTCCCATTTCAGGAAAGCACCTGGCCTGCTCAGTGGCACCAAGGAATTGGTGTGATGAACAAGGTGATATATCAGGGACATAGCTGGGACTGGACACAAGGGCCCCAGTAGGCATGGTAAGGTGCTGGGCTTTTACTTAGTGGTCTGGGGAGCCTTAGAGGGTTCTGAGCAGCAGTCATATGATCTGACTTCCATTTCAACAGATTCCTCTGGCTGCTGAGTAACTACACGGCAGGGGCCAATGGGGTTAAAGCTGGCATCACTGTTAGTTCACCACAAGTGGGCAGGCAAGTAAAACAGTGAGGAATAATAATGAATGTTATGAGACAAGCAAAGAATGGGCTGGGAGGATGCGTATGGGGAGAAGAGACAACATCGTTCCCTTTAGGAAGAAGGTGACACTTAAGCGAGGCACAAAGTAGGAGAAGGAGCTGGGTTAGAGAGTTTCCAGCAGAAGGAACAGCCTATGCAAGGGTCCTGAATGAGAGGAGAAGGCAAGAGGGGTCCAGAGACAGAGTCACTGTGGCCATCATCACCAGTCAGCTGTCCCTGCATGGCCTCTCCCAAGGAGAACATTTTGCATCCAGGGCACTGGCCTCACAGTCCTGCCGTTTTCCTCAGGCAGAGTCACAGAGCCAGGTCTGGATAGCACTTCACTAGGGCCTGAGAACAGCCCCGATTTCACAATGAGCTCTACTTCCCTCCGTGAGTGTGAGAAGTTGTGGGAAATACGAAATTCAATCTGTTAAATGTGCCTGCTTCCCAAAACCTCAAACCCACACATGGCAGGACCTGGTGGCCCAGGAAAGAAGGACAGGGCAGGTGGGCTGTTGTCCCAGGGAGCAGACATGGGACTGCTATCTTGGATACGTAGAAGTCAAAGTCAGAGTGAACAGACTTTGACAAACTATGCGCGTCATGTTTATCAGCTTTCTAGGGCTGCCATAACAAAGCACCACAAACTGGCTGGACTGATATGATAGGAACTTATTCTCTCACAGTTCTGAGGACTAGATGTCCAAAATCAAGGTGGGATTAGGGCATGCCCTTGTTGAAGTCCTTAGGGGTGGATCCTTCCTAGCTTCTTCTAAATTCTGTTAGCCCTAGGTATTACTTCACTTATGGTAGCGTAACTCCAACCTCAGCCTTCATTTTCACACATTGGCCTCCCTCTGTGTCTTCACATCACATCATCTCCACTCTTTTTTTTTTTTAAGATAGAGTTTCACTCTTATCACCCAGGCTGGAGTGTAATGGTATGATCTCAGCTCACTGCAACCTCTGCCTCCTGAGTTCAAGTGATTCTCCTGCCTCAGCTTCCAGAGTAGGTAGGATTACAGGCACCCACCACAATGCCCAGCTAATTTTTTTTTGTATTTTTAGTAGAGATGGGGTTTCACCATGTTGGCCAGGCTGGTCTCAAACTCCTGACCTCAGATGATCCACTTGCCTCAGCCTTCCAAAGTGCTCAGCTTACAGACATGAACCACCGTGCCCAGCCTCTTCCCTCTTCTTATAAGGACACCAGTCATATTAAATTAGGGCCCACCCTAATGACCTCATTTGCACTAATTACATCTGCCATGACCCTATATCCAAATAAGGTCACACTCTGAGGTAGGATTTCAATGGATCTTTTTGGAAAACACAATTCTGACCATGATCATGTCACGCCAGGAAAGAGGCAGTGGTGAGAAAGGACTGGCAGCTTTTGCTCTGCAGGATCAAGTCACAGATTTTGCTCCAGAGAAGCCATTCTGAGCTCATGTCCACACCCTGGGTCTGCTGACTCTGAATCACTCCCACCAATACCTTTAAAAATATGCTTCAATCTGAGTGCTTCTGTTGTTGATTTTGTATAAAAATTATTCTTATGCTCCTAAAAGCCAGGACATTTTTGTTAGAGGTACAGTGCTTTACAGTCACACAGGCCTGAATGACTGGTCTTTACCCCTTACTCTGCCATGGCCACAACACCTCCCAGTTGGGAAGTAGGTAGAGGTAGATAAGGCCAGGCCAGATTATGGAAGGCCCAGGAAGCCAGGGGAACTTGGAATGGCTTAGGGAGACACTCAGGTCCTGAGCAGGGGAGTGATATGGGAGACGCAGAGTCTCCCAGGGCTAGGCTGGGCAGGATGAAGGAGACAAAACAGGGAAGTGAAGTGTAAGTGCCAGGAGCAGGAATTAAGGCATCAAGATAAAGTTGCAAGCATATTATCTGATATTTTCAGACTTGTGGAGACAAAGATGAACTTTGAAACTTCTCTTTGAGAGACAATGAGACTTAGGGAATGAGGTGTTGTCAGTGATAAAAACCAGAGCATGCAGGAAAGATAAGGAAGGAGAGCTTTAAGTTGAAGGGGAAGCTTAATGGCTTTAAACTTCATCCAGAGGCAAGTGTGTGGTGGTTCCTGAAGAAAAGCCTTCTTTTCTAGATGTCTTCTTCATCCTCTTCAGAGATGGCTCTTTGCTCTGCTTCCAGGATCCTGGATGTCTCAGTTTCCCCAGATGACCACATGGCCTCAGAGTCCAGAGCTAGATGTGCTGATCTTGCAGCCCCCTCGTCCTATGTCCTCATCAAAACCAGGGGTCATTGGAATGGACTGAAGAAGGAGAAAGCTCAAAAGGATCTGAGGAAGTGGTCTGGCTAAGAGCTTGAAATGGACAGAGTCCTGGCTCTCAGGCAGACACTTAAATTCTCCTGGTGCCACAGGCATTACAGCTGAATCCATTTAAAAGAAGATGGCAAATATATAAATCATGACCTCAAAATTCCTTCAATCTCTCACAGGACACCAGGGAAACATTTGTATTATGGCTCAATAACAACCAGGGTCAGGAATAAATTTGAAATTCTTTAATTTAGGCTCCAATTCATTCATATGCCTGTTGCTAAATTAAATGCTTGAAATAATTTCCTGCTATGAAAATATGAGACTCTTACTATTCAGATAAATAGACTATTCAAATCAAAGGCCTGAAATCTTAAGAATTATCTCAAAATGACTTTTAAAAAAGCTTTTCTGTTTTTGATCATAAAATGTCAAAGGCACACTATAATAAACCACAGTTTAACCACAGCTAAAAAGTAAATTTAGCTTTACTTTTTAGTATGCAGTCATATCTAAGTTAATAAGATGTCATGCTTAAAATAATAAAATGCATTTCTTTGGAAATATACTGTGTATAGATGGGACTACCAGTTATGAAGGAGTGAAGTGGTCAACAAATCCTCTCCCCACAAAGCAATTATAAAACTGGACAAAATTGTCAAAAATAATCATTTCAGGGCTCTGGAAATTGACTAGAGGCAAACAAATTGAGAGATTTATATTCTCAAAAACCTGTGGAGATTCAAGCAGAAAGAGTGCCAATACATGGCATTCTTGCTGAAACTCCCTCCGCCATCTGGCCCAGTCCAGTCAACATGGTTGTTTGACCAGGACAGGACAGGCCTTTACTTGATTTGAAGTGAAGAGTAGAAATCCCCTGACAGCAGCAAGTGGGAAAAGTTTGCAGATTTCCTAGCCTGAAGTTGCAATCCTGGTTAGGATGAGCAGTATTGGATAAACCAGAAATTTAACAGGAAGGTCATGGAAATGAGCTAGCATTGAGGGCTTGACAAGCATTCCATATCCCTGTCTGTCTGGGAACCTGTATGCATGCACTGTGGAGACCCAAAAGGGCCCGGTGTTAACATAACACCTGGGGCAGAGATTGAAAACTGCCCCAAATTTGAATACATTCCCCAATTTAATCACAGATCCACCAGCAGCAAAGTGTGGTATTTGAACACAATTTCTGACCAATTATTGAGTGCCCATTGAGCTATGCAGACACAAAGGTGACCCATAAGAAGCCAACCCTTCCACCTGTGCAAAAAAACAGGTAAGAATTTTTTTTTTTTGGAAATGGAATGTTGCTCTTTCGTCCAGGCTGACGTGAAGTGGCAGGATCTCAGCTCACTGCAAACTTCACCTCCCCCACCACCCCAGGTTTAAGTGATTCTCCTGACTCAGCCTCCGAGTAGCTGGGATTATAGGTGCCCACCACCACACCCAGCTAATTTTTGTATTTTTTTTAGTAGAGACGGGGTTTCACCATGTTGGCCAGGCTGGTCTTGAACTCCTGACCTCAGGTGATCCATCTGCCTCGGCCTCCCAAAGTGCTAGGATTACAGGTGTGAGCCACCATGCTCAGCCAACAAAGAAGAATTTTTTAAAAACTGAGCAGAGATATCAGTAGATGCACAGTGAAGGGCAACAGATTCTGTGGATCAAGTCTGAGCAAGTTATAAACTAATATAAGGTAGCAACACCCAAGACTCTCTGAGGATAAAAGGAAAAATGAATCCAGAGCTCTTATATTATCTAAAATATGAAATTTTCAATACAAGTTTATGAGTCATAAAAAAAAATGAAGAAATATCCATACTAAGGGGTGGGCAGAGGGCAGGAGAGACGTCAATGGAAATGGTCTTTGAGTGCTCCAGATGTTGATTTAACAGACTTCAAAGCTGCTATTTTAAATATGTTTAAAAAAATAGAAGGAAATTATTCTTAAATAATTTAAGGAAAATATTATGAAAATGACTCAACAAGTAGTAATATCAATAAAGAAAAATTTTAAAAAGAACTAATGGAAATTCTAGAGCTGAAAAACATAATAATAAAACAAAGATTATATGGAATCAGTAGTAAATTTGAGATATCTGAAGAAATAATCAGTAAATTTGAAGATAGATAGAATGTTATCCAATCTGCAGAACAAAGAGAAAAAAGACTGAAGAAAAATGAGCAATCTCAGAGACCAAAGAGACAACGTCAAGCATAAAAATTGTGTAAGAGGAGTTTCAGAACAAAAGGAGAGGAAAAGGGCAGGAAAATCAAAATTGAACAAATAATGACTTAAATCCTCCCAAATTTGATGAAAAACATTAACTACAGATCTAGGAACCCCACTGTACCCCATGTAGAAATATCACAGAGATCTTCACTTAGTCACATCAAAATTTTGAAATCAAAATGCAAAGAGAAAATCCTGAAAGCAGCAAGAGAAAAACTAATCATCTATAAGAGAACAATAATACAAATCTTGGTTAAATCCTTATTAGTAACAGTGGAGGCCAGAAAGTGTAGAATGACATATTCAAAACACTAAAACATTTGCCAGCCAAGAATTTTATATCAGCAAGATTATCCTTCAAATAGGAAAGAAATAAAGATTTTCAGATAAACAAAAACTGAGATAATGTATCACTAATGACCTGCCTCACAAAATACTAAACAAAGTCCTTCAAGATGGGAATGAACATTACTCCGGTTGATAACTTGAATCCACAAGAAGAAATAAAAAAGACTAAAAATGGTTAACATATAGGTAATTATAAAAGACTTAATGAGTATGCATTGTTCTATTATTTCTTTAAGTGGTATAATATACAAAACAACTGTATTTTTGGGTTTAAAATATAAATAGATGTAGTAATGTATGATACTAATAGGACAAAAGTGAGAGAAGGGTAGGGAGGATTTTGAGCTGTATCGGAGGAAAGTTGCTATATTTTACTGGATTTAATTAGTTTTAGCTTGAAGTGTATTGTGGTATGTTAAAATGCACATGGTATTTCCTAGAACAAATGCTAAGATGATAACTCAAAATTATAGTTTAAAAATCAACCAAGGAGTTAAAATACCATACAAATTATTTGCCTAACACAAAGAAGGCAGTGAAAGAGAAATAGAGGGTCAGAAAAGACATGAAGCTTATAAAAAACAAATAGCATGATGAAACATTTAATTCTAACCATATTAATACTAAGGTGAATGGAATAAATATTTCAGTCAAGATCACAGATTCTCAGACTAAATTTAAAAAGCGAATCCAATTATATATTATCTATAAGACATATACTTTCAATCCAAAGACATATATAGGCTGAAAGCCAAAAGAGATCTGCTCTGATCACTCTTACTCAGTGTAATACTGGAGGCTCTGGTCAATAAAAGAAAACAAGAAGGAGTAATACAATGTATTGTATACGGATTGGAAAATAAAAGGTAAAACTTTGTTTTTAATTCAAAGACAGTATGACCCAGTATATACAAAATCTTTTTACATACAAATAGCATATATACATATACATACTGGTACTAGGTCTGGCAGTGTTTCAGAATAAAAGATCAATATATAAAATATCAATATTTCCTACATATGGACAGTGAACAATCCAAAAACAAAATTTAAAATATTTCATTCACAACAGTATCCAAAATATTAAAATACCTAGGAATAAACTTAAGAACTACAAGACTTGTACATTAAAAGTACAAAGCATTACAAGAGAAATTAAAAATCTATATTAATGGTGACATATTCCATTTTTATGAATTGAAAGACACACCATTATTAATATGGCAGCTTTCCCCAAATTAACCTATAGATTTAACAGAATCCCTATCAAAATCTCAGTAGGATTTCTTGTAGAAATTGGCACACCAATCCTAAATGTATATGAAATGCTAAGGATCTAGAATAGCCAAAAGAATTTTTGGAAAGATGAACAAAGTTGGAGGACTCAAACTACTGGACCTTAAAACTTACTACAAAGCCACAGTAACCAAGACAATGTGATATTGGCATAAAGGTAGATATATAAAGCAATGCGACAGAATTAAGAGTTCATAAATAAATCCTTATTTATAGTCTATCGATTTTTCACAAAGGTGCTAAAGTAGCTCAGTTGAGAAAGAATGGTCCTCAAGAAATATTGCCAGGACATTTGGATATACATATGCAGAAAAATCAATTTAGACTCTTATTTTACAACACATACAAAAATTAACCCAAACTGAATCACAGGCTTAAAAGTAAGAGCAAAAACTATAAAATTTCTAGGAGAAAACATTGTAGACAATCTTTGTGGCCTTGGATTGGGTAAAGAGCTTTTAGGTATGGCATGAAAAGGACAATATGTTACCAAAATGAGCAATTAATTGGCTTCATCAAAATTAAAAACATTTCTCCTACAGAAGAAACCATTACAAAAAGGATGAATCACAGATGATGAGAAAACATTTGCAGATCCATGTCTGATAAGAGGTTTGTATCTAGAATATATAAAGAACTTTCATAAGTCAATAATAGAAAGTCGAACAATTCAATTTTAAAAGGGGCAAAAGATTTGAGAAGCTATTTCAACAACAAAAAAGATATTCTAATGACTAATAAGCACATAAAAACATGTGTCTACACAAAGACTTGTATGTGAATGTTTATAGCATCTTGCCATTGGGGGCTGGCTCTGCAAGTGGAAAGAATGGAGGCTTGGAATGTCCTGCAGAGCTTGAATAGATCTGCACTGTACAGATCAAATCTATCAGAATCGTCAGTAATGATGATAAGAAAAACATTATTATATATTTATTCATGGTGACCATAGCATTCCATCCCAGTACAGGCTTTGCCATTTCTAAGGCACATTGTTGGCCACCATGTTATCTGACCCTCACTCACCCAATGGGTAAAATTCTTCCCAAGATTGGCCTCCCTGGACACCTAGTTACAGCCCTCCCACCACCATCACCTAGTCACCTCCTCACCTCCCTTCCTTAGCCTAACAACATCCCAAGTGGCAATGGTCAAGCCACCTAGCCCATCATTTCTGATACAGTGAATCTTTTTTGGCTAAGACTAAACCCTCCCACTCTTCTAATCTCTGTCTCTTTGAAACAAAATATTAAGTCTTATCACCCTGACATGTCTTATAAAAAGTAGAAAGGAGAGAGACATAAGAACACTTACTATGATTGAGTTCTATTGCTGTGACTTGCAAAAATCAGTGCAAAACCACAGTAGCTAATGAGCAGGGAAAAATGTGGTTTACTAAGATTTGCTGAAAAGAAAGAATTTCTCTCATGGGGCAACTTGCTTGGAAATAGAAGGAGCTGAAATTTGGACATGTGATTCTCATTACCAGCTACATCCTTTCAGACAGGAGGCAGAAATTATTGGATTCATTTCTATTTTAATTATAACTCTTTGGCTTTAAAGAAATCGCCA